TGCAAAACTTCACAATCCACATTCATTCAGTATTATCAAAGAACGAACAGATAATAAGTTTAGTTTTTGGGTCAATTTATGAAAAATATAACTTAATGTTAAAATACCACCGAATAGTTTTTTTCATGAAATGACCGTTTTTCTATAGATGAATTTTTCAATGTTTCTACCATTGCCTTTAGATATTTTAGAGCATTGTTGCATGTTTTTGTTTTCTTTTCTTTTTCCATTACCTCACCCGCCAACCCCGCACTACATATTGATGGCGCGCCTTTCTAAACACATGGAAAATTTAAAAATAAACACAATTAATTGGAATAAACGAAATTGGAATTTTCGATAAAATAAATACGAAACCAATGAAACGAAAAAAAAAATCAGGATTCACTTGGGTCTCCATCCTGCGGTAGTGTAATCAACGATGAACCAGTTTACATCCACACAATGAGACACGCTTACCAGCAACCCTGGGAGGTTCAACAATCTAGAATGATGACCGCCAGCTGCCATCCCGTCCAACAAAATTGTTACGTGGGATACGGAATGAATGATATAGTTCCCATACAGGTAAACATGACATACATACCAAATTCAACAAATCAGGCTACAGTACAAGGGTTACGAAAATATTCTTCTCTTTTCTGCAATTTTAAAAGTATGCAAGGCGCGCGTACTTGGCATGCAACTACTAGCATTTTTAACATCATCCAAATCACGTTATTTTTTGGAAATATGCATGATTAATAGAAATCTTCTCTTAACTTAGATGTTGCTTTGAACGTTTTCACCCAGTTTAATTTTATAGTGTTACCCTTTAACAGTTTTGTTATCTGATGTATCAGATAATATTAATAAATTTGCCATTTTTAACTTTACCGATTGCACTTGTGTTTGTACCCTTATGTGTGTGCCTTACTTGTATTGCACCCGATAGCTAATATCATAAATTGCAATTTTTATTTAATATTTGAACAAAAAGCAAAGCGTAATTTTGATAAAAATCTCAGTTCTTTAAACTATATTTATATCAGTATATTGAAATAAACGAACAATAAATTTCTTTCTAAAATTAAATATTTTGTACATGTAGGAACAACATCAATGAGGTTTCAAATAATTCGTTTTTTTACCAATCGCAAATTTGAAACTCATATTACGTATAACTGAAAATTTTTAATGATTACATCACAGTATCGGATTCGGAATATGGAGATTTAACAGATCTGTTACTTTATATATATTTTTTTGTTTTTTTTTTGAAGATTCGACAAGGTCGCGGAAAAAGTTTAGAAAGCTTGGAGGATACAGAAAGAGGTCCTGTAACCCACCTTACGTTTACCAATGAAGGTGGACCACAAGCGTTGTACGTTAGTGGTGCAGGTCCTGGAATGCCCTCTAGTATCATGTTGTCTGGAGGTCAACAGTGGCGCCGGTCATATGATGATGGCGATATCACGCCGACAAATGAGGCTTCGATACTAGCAAGTTACGAAGGTAAATAGAATAATAACTATTCAATATATATCTTTTATCGCTTTTTTTATTTTTGACTCTGTTTATTTCTTTCAGGTGGCGGAACATTACCACGGCCCCGCGGATTTGTTCGACCAAGGCCTGTTGCAAAAGTCACGGGCAATACGAAGGCTGTACCTCAGTCGCATTTTCAAGATTTTAATGATAAAATACCTTATTCTCAACAACATCAGCAGCAAGCTTATAATGAATATATACAATATGCAACATCGACTAGTAAATATTCACATTTGTACAGCCCTCATTTGACCAAGAAAATGCCACCGCAACCACCTAAACGTCAGAGCTCGAATTCAGGATTAGATGGTAAGTCTGGGTAGAATATCGTAAAAATTGTCTTGGTATTAATAAAAAATCAGGCTATTGCTGCAGGAACTGATTGATTACTGCTACTGACTTTCCATTAAAATTGGCATTGGCCGATGTGTGTGGAGTGAAAATTTTTATAGATCTTTTTTTTTAGGTATTTATAATGTAGGCTCCATACATCAAACCACAGTAGAAATACATGCAGAAAATAATTCTCCACCTAATAAAAGTTTACCGAGCTTACACGAATCTAATAAGCAACTGCCGCTAAGTCTTCCTGCTTATCCATCGTCGGATAGTTTAAGCTGCGTCAGCCTGGAAAGTGAAGGCCTGCCTTTACCTCCGCCACCAGCACCTTGTACCCCACCGACAGGTAATGCAATAAATAAATATCCATAAATAAAAGTAAAATACGTAAGTAATTGTAAAATTATATCTAATACGTTTTTTATGATATTATAGGTATAATGCCATCTAGATCTTGGACAGATGGAACCAGTAGGATGAATGAAGAGCAAATGCTTATCAATACTTTAGCAAATCAAGCGCGTAATGGTAGCGACGCCAGTTTTAAAGTTAGTTAACTTATATTATTAGAACATTCAAAATAAAAATTCACAAGATTCACATTGTACGTTAGTACAATTTGCAATTCATTCAGATTGTTATATAGAAAAGTTTTTTTAAAAAATTATTTTATTAATATTTTATTCTTTTTATTACAGTCTAGCTCAAGTACAGAAAGCGATAGTCTGCCATTCGCCAACGAGAATGCAGGCACCATCAAACAACGCGCCAACGCAAGCCTGAACCGCAACCAGAGTTCCCTAGAATTCTCCCGGTCAAACTCTTTATCCAGACAAAGCGGCCACATGCATTCAAGTTCACAAAATGCAGATTTAAATTCAATAACACCCCATGAAAGTACAGAGCCAGCCGATGTTCTGAGCGACATAGGAAACATGTTGGCAAATTTAACCGATGAATTAGATGCCATGTTAGAAGAAGAGAAACGACAAGGTTTGACAGATTCACAATAATAAAAAGTTACAGGTAAAAACGTTGGTTAGGACGCGTGTTACTTTTTTGAGATGTCGTTAAAGTATTACGCTGTGATATAGAGCTAGTGTATTTTGGTTCAAAGTATTATATACTTGTAATGAAGTGGGCGCGGAAACAGGAGAAAGTATAAAGAAATTCAATTTTATTAGTGAAGAATTAAATTTACATTTACCAAGCTTTTATTTTTGCTTTACCTGTTGTGTAAAAAATTACGTACTAAATATTTTTAATATATATTTTAAAATGCTTGAACCATTATTTTTAACTTCCATTCACAATATAAAATACTTTATAAAAATCACTACTCTTCAATGACGGTTCAATATTTTTATCTAGTGATATCTTTTTGCGCATTATATTTTCATAAATATAAATTGCAAATAATATTTATTTTATAGTAAAGAATTATTTTAATTATTGATATACAATGTATAATCTGATTTATTTATTATTTTATCAAAAAAATATCATGCCCTTTTTATGTAAAGATTTTTTTTATCATTCCGCAGCTTAAAACGAAAAGTTCATTTTAAAAAACATTTAAAATCATTGATATATAAACTATGCCTTACAGGACAAACAATTTTATTATATTAGCTATAAAAATGATGTCAGAATTTGATAATTTTGCTGTCTTTTTGAAAGATATTTTTTTGTTAGAAGCTGCAGAATTATATGAAATATAAATAAATTATTCAATGTCATATTTCGTAGTCATTAATAAACTACTTAAATATTGTTTACTATTTTAAAGAAATATTTACATTTAATGATTTTAAAAAAATCTATATTATTTTGTATTTAAATCTATAGATTTGTTCTGAATAATTTAGAATAAAAAATAATGAGGCGACATGAAGCCGATTAGAAGCTGATTGCATTATTATGGGCAGTAACTTTTTTACTTAAGATTATACTTAACAAAGTTCAAAGGTAAGATATTTTATGATATACATTAAAAAAAGATATCAGCTTTCATTTGTATCTATAATTATATTAAATATAAAATACTTGTGTATATTTTGTTAATTATATCTTAAGACAAATTGTGCTATCTTGAAAGTAACATTTTTAATAAGACACATGAGAATATTTTATCAATTTAATTTTAAGTCATAGTCTATATTATGAGAAAATTTTATTTGATCTAGGATAAAACTAATCCCATTTTGAGGGACGGTATATGGACTGACTTCTAGTATAAAAATATATAAATTTTAATAGTGAAATAAATATATGAATTTATATTTATTTAGCGGTACGGCATATCAGGACACATAAAATATGTCATTTATTTTTGCCCTAAATTACTTTTTATTTCATTCCAATGTTTTTTGTTCGACTCTAGTATTTTTTTCTGGGTTAATTGCTGATTGAACCGAATTCAGCTGGTAATTATATCATTCCTATCAATGCCATATTTTTCTTATATTTTTATATACTATAATAAACGAGAGACTAATATTTTAGTAATATATATCTGTACTTATAGCATATAATAGCAATAATGATACTTCATTTATTTTTTTGGATTATTTATTTTTTAATTCAACAGCGCTTTACATATCATAGAACAAAACTAGCAAAAAATTTGATCAATATTATTTTTCCGAATCTCAACGATTTAAATATATGCATATATAAATTTTGCGGCACATTTTGGTAAATTTCATGTCGACATTTCCTCTTTTGCAATATTTTTAAATTACGGTCTACTTTAACTAAAAACTTCTAAATATACATATTACGGCTGTTTTGAATTCGAATGGTATTTATATTTTAAACTCTAAAACTCATTAGCGGAATTCATATTATTGTCTCTGAATGATTTTTCATTTATCTCTTTGAACTGCATAGAAAACTGATGATTAAATGAATTTTAAAGAAACTGATCTATAAATAGGGAAATCAATTAATAGCTATTATACTGGCATAATTTATAGATATATTAGAAATTGTAACATATAAATAAATTTAGGAACTAACGAATTATTACATATATATAGTGTTGTCTGTAGTGGTTTTGTGTGAATGGATGCACTGTATCTCGTTTCATTATATAGTAATATATATAGTATATATTTTATTAGAATATATATGTTTTGTACCTAGAGTACACTTCGACTTATAATAATGTACAGAATTATTTCTTATAATGTTAATTTACTGAATGGTGTTCAATGTTCTTAATCATTCTACTAACAATAAAAAGAAATCAATCGGCTTTAGAAGTATATGATTGTAACAGATGTGTATGAGTTTTTTTGTAAGACCGAAATTTATATATATATATATATATATATATATATATAATATTTATTATTGATTTTGAAAATGACTTAAAAATTCGTACATATTTTTGATTAGCCGATCGAATTTCAAGTGTTATTTTTCAGATAACTTCTAAAACAAATTTTATACTATCTTTGCGAAAATTTTGGCACTTTTGAATTGTAGAAGAATGCCATTAATCTTTATATTTATTTTTAATTTCTATAAAATGCGCGTGTTGAAGGCTTTCATAATAGTATTCAATCAGAGATATTTGACTGTAGTATTTTTCAAATCTTAATCCATATTTTGTACAGCATAATTGCAAGATTTTTAATGCAACAACGACATCAAATTTACATGTATACGTTATGTTAGCCAATAATATGTAGATTTATAAACATAGGATTTTATATAAACAAATGCTGTATTGGATAAATATGTTAATGTCTTGATTACAATTATTAAATGAAATAATAAAATTTAGAAAGAATTCGATAAAGATAATAGTTAATTGATAATATAACTAACAATTGCAATCAACACATGAACATTATATTATAATTAAAATTATATTTATAAATATAGATGCTAAATCGATACAGCCATAATTGATATAGATTTTGTATGTACTTTGTATCATTTCAAATGATGTTACGATGCAATGTATTCAATTTGAAGTTATTAAATTATAATATATAAAATTACTTTTATTTAAAAATGTTTATTCAAGTTCTGACTGTTTATCATATGTATTTACATTAATGTTATGTTTTTTAAGATCCAGGTGTAAAATGTATCCTTTTGAGCAAACTATGTAAACAATTTACGTAGATGTTTTTGAAAAGACACAAATTGTACTTGTATAATTAATTATTTATATTTAAATTTGTTATTCAATTAAACGTGTTATTATATTTTTTAAGATTAGTTTGAGAATCTTTATGAGCACATTCGATAATTTATTATGAATTAACATCAATTAATTTATAAAATGTAGTTTTCAATTAATGATGTTCAATTTATTCGGGTTGAGCGTCATTGAACTCTCTTTAATCCAATTATGTGATTGATTCTTCTATAATCCTATTATCCCCACTTCTTCAGAGTTTTCATAAAAATCACATGATTTCTACTTTGAGTACAATTCTAGATTCAATTTAACAAAACACTACGACGTAAAATCATATATAAATTATAAATTTGTACTCCAATAATGTCGAAAGATGATGGTGTTAAAATTCTGACGGTAGTTTTGCAATAAAATACTTATTTTCGTTTGGTTTTAATAAGGATTTTTGTAGGACAAGGAATATATACGGTTAGGAGAAAGTAATTTGGATGATTGTTATAAAGTTATGAATATGGAAGGATGGCGAACTGAGAAGAAATGTGACAACGGAGATATTGTTGAATATTTGGATCATCCGTTCTTTGGAAAAGTTTTCAGATTCACGGTACTGTGAACCCATGTATATATAAATAAGTAAATATAAATATATATATATATATATGTGTGTGTGTATGCCCAAATATCAATTTCCAGGGTGAGATTATTTGCGACACGGATATTTTAATAATAGAGCTCTTCGATAAAATCGAGCAAGTCACAGACTGGTGTCCATCTTTTATAGAATCTAAAATATTGCAGGAAAGTTACATCTACAAATAAATGACTAATTATGTTTTTTATTCATAAATAATTATAATTTAACAATGTAGAAAATAGATAATCAAACAGACATCAGTTACCAAGTGGCTGCTGGAGGAGGCGGGGGTCTGGTTTCGCCTCGGGATTTCGTAAACCTAAGACATTACGGTATGCGAGGCGCCAGCATGGTTTGTGCAGGACAATCCGTGGAACATCCCCTTGGACCAGAGACTAGTAAATATATCAGGTACCGTATTAGAAATACAATGATACTTAGCAGAATGAAAAAAACTATCATTTTGTAAGACATGGCTACAATTTTAATACAAAACGGAACGTATATTTCTAGCTCTATCTTGCAGTCCGAAAATATTTTAGTGTATATATAAATATATGACCTGATTTCGTTACATTGTTTCGATTTACATTAACAAAGTATATAGTAAATTGTTAAAATTTAGTTAAGTTTTACTTTAATTAAAGTACTTCAGTTTATATTACCCCGAAGATGATATAAGATCATATGTCGAAACGGATAAAAAAGATACTTGAAAACATGTTCTACTTCTATTTGATATATTAATATAAGGCAATATAGTATAGTATCGTAATATAGGGCAATTGCCCTAAAGATGTTGTTTGACATTTTTACTATTTTATAATCATAATCTAACGCGCAAACTTTTGATGAAACCACACTTTAGTAATTTTTCTTTTGAATGAGAGCCGTTTAAAGTTGACCCGTTTTGAAAATTTTAAATTTATAGTTTAACTAATAGACTTAATTTGAGAAAACTTTAGGCAATTGTGGTTTCAATTATGGCTAGAACTGTTATTTTGGATTATGGATCCATAGTTCAAATGAACACATTTATCAAAAATTAACCACATTTATCTGGTAATAGTCACAGTCTTAAAACAGCTTTAAGTTGTACTAAAAACGCTCATAATTTTCGAACTACATGGCATAATTTTTCTTCCTGATTTTTTTCATGGTAGTTACGATCAATACTTTCACCCAATTCGGTTTGACGTTGAGTTATGGGACATCTTGTACATACCACGTTATAAAAGATTATATTAACTTGCCAATAATTTTAATACCTAAAAATCTCTGAAACTGTAACGGAAATAAATAATCTAGAATAATTAACATTAAAACTAAACGATCCTTTAAACAAAATTGATTGCATATATTATGCACTAATTACTTTATTATTATAAATTAATACGTTTTCATTTGCGTTTTTGGTTACACATGCTACTCTTTGTTTTTTATTATATTGACTAGAAATTACACAAAGTTGCTCGAAGTTTATTAGCTGAGATTGAGGTTGAAAATAATTACAGTATAATTTTGTGTCCAATTAATTTATAGTGAACGCAATTGATAATTGCATTGACAAATATTTTAAAACGGGTCATTAAGAAATGTGAATAATATCTTGATTTAATATTAAATTGTATCAATGATTTAATAATATCAGAGGTTACACCCGCCTCGGCTGCTGGTCCCTGACGCCCCTGAACGGCGGCGCGACCACGGAATTCCGTTGGCTGATGAGCATGGACATGCGCGGCCTGCTGCCCAGAATTATAGTGGACGCGGCTCACACCACTGTCATGATAGACTATGCAAGACATTTGAGGAAACATTGTGCCGATCTGGCAGCCAAATAACGTTATCAATTTATAATAATCAAAAGTAATCTTTTGTAAAAATCAAATGTCATTATTTTATATAAATTATTCAATGAGATTGCAGAAATAAAATTCATGTAGTTAACTATTCTGGGATAATTATGCACATCTTAGTGTATATTTGTTATGAGGTAATATATTTATGTTATTTGTCGAATGTAATTTTGTATTACGAAATGATTCGATGAGATTTACGAGTTGAAAGAGATAGCTTATCCAAGATTAGGCCTAATAATTACATTTATCATTAATTTTGGCTGCTTGTCATAAGTTTGGTGATAGTGCACTATTAGTCAATTTAAAGTTGCAGTATATTTATATTGTGTATCATTGTATAAAAAAAAGAAAAATAATATTTTATAATCATGTTTTTACAGTCATGATTAAGATGCTTTATTGCCGTAAAATAATTTATATATATATTTTCATTCAATATATATTTTATATTAACATTAAATTTTGTATGCCTACAATATAAACACTATGTAACATGAATACTATATAATATAAATACTATATAAGTATACTTATATTTCCATAAAGTTTCAAAACTTTATTAAAACATATAATTTAAATATCCTTTAATTACAATTCATAATAATCATTTATTGAATTTCTTTTATGTATTTTCATAATCTTAATAATAAATATAATATTGTATTATTAAAATATTAATATAGAACGAGGTCAGGTGTTCACGAATGTTGAAACTTCCTCGAGAGGCTTCTAACAATTTTTATATATCTTTATTAATATATATTATTGTAATAAATACTGCTTTATAATGAAAATATTTTTGTATTTTTTTTTTATTTATTTATATATATATATATATATTTACAAACAAACTAAAAAGACTAAGCCATATATAATGATGTGCATAGACACCAGCTCTCATACTATTGCAAAATAGTAGCAAAGAGGTACCCTAGCGTCCTTACTATTAGGGACCTTAATATGTGGAGGGGGTCAGGCTTCAGGTATATTATAAACATTGGTACCTTACTCGACCTTATTTCTGGTCTACCGGTCAAGAAGCCAACACCTTCGAAGGCAAACAGATAAGAAGATTTAACTACAAAATACTGAATTGAAAACATTGTATATATTATTAACAATTAAGTATTGTATTCTCATATAATACAATTGTGGTGTGTTAATGTTGATATGTGGAATCACCCGACAGATGTATAAATCAATATACATCAGTATACATTTATATATCTAATTTACATACAAACCACAAAAACTAGGCTATATATAATGATGTATAAATGAATATTATATCAATAGATTTTTAGTTTTTATTACAATTGGGTTCTTTGATAAGGCTCTAAACAACAGTGAAATCCCGTTAAGACAATTTTCCAGGAATCGGACTTTTGGTATTATGCGATAAAGATAATGTGGCGGTCCAGGTGTAAAGCATAAGACGCTATCGTCTTAACGGGGTTGCACAGTTTAATATGTATATAGTATATTGATGTTCACTTCATATATTTATTAATATTTAAAATATTTTAATTAATGATAATTCACATTAATATTAAGAGAATCCAAAGTTTTACTTGGCAGTAACCAGGGTAACAAGAAATGCAAACAATGCCTCTTTATATTTATATATACGCACGGCAAACGTAAAATATATAAAAATAACTAAATATTGCACTAAAATACATAATTTTTTTTTATTATTATGGTAAATCAGTTAAATTTTATTATTACGGCTTCGGGTATGTGCATTTTAAATTTAATATTTAAATGATGGTTATTAATTAAAATTAATATTAATTGTGTTTTGAATATTAGCTCATTTTTTCGATATAGAACCAAACGAGGAATGGAAACTAAGTAGAGGATTATTAAAATTTTTGGATAGTGACAAATGTTTAGTATTATTAGTTAGACAAATCGATGGTGTTTTAGATTTTGAAACAGAGGTTAGTTGTGCAGTTTTATATGTATCATATGAGCAGTTTCAATAAATTGATTTTTTATATAACTATTATTTTTGAAAAGGTTTTGGATATTGACCGCAAAGGAACCTGTTTGGCTTTTTATAAACAATTTTTGAATAAAGAAAATAAAGATGATTTTTGTTTGAATTTGGTTTCTCTTCAAGGAAGTGCCGGTGTTTCTTTGTATCATGCTTTGACAGCTGTTTATACACCACTTCTTCAAAAGGTTTTTATATAATAATTAAGCCATGCAGTTAAGAAGTATCATCGCAATATCAGCTCACAGGACTAATATTTATTTTTTATAACATTTTAGGATTCTTGGTGTTCTTCTGTCATTGAATTAGTGAATGGATTGCAAGCCGGTTTAAAAGCTAACGTTATTGTTTCAGGAGATACAGCAGGTATGAATAAACTTTAATTGAGATGAAACTATAATCACCAATTACTTGAAAATACATTTGATGAAACTTGATAAAAACTCGCCAAAAATTTTAAGCCAAAATTTTAGCCAAAAATCTACAATCATTTTTTGAAATTCAAAGGCTATGTATCAGGTTTCAGTTGGGAATCGTGTATTAGCTTTTGGTAAAGATCGGCTGGGCGGTTTTTTTAGTAATTAGTTGTTAATTTGCATCAAACTTTGTATAATGAAAGAGTTTATGAAGTGATACGTTATATATAAATAATAATCAATGTTTGAAATAATGAGTCGTGTCCAAATTTCAATGTGGTATTAGTGATGATTTTAGAAGTTGCTTAATTTTGTTATCGATTAAGTTGATTATTGATATTTTTCCGAAAGTAGTTGCTTTATTTTCAATCGAGCAATAATAGTCAAAGAATAAATTAAGATTTGTTCATCTTGCAGTTTATTTAACCGTACAAGATGAAGTCGAATATTGGTCAGCGATTTCGCTTAAAGGTAAACAAGCTTCTGAAAGAGAAAAGGCGCAAGCAATTGTTGACATTTTGGAACCTGTCGCAAGGAGTATTAGGTATAATTAAAAACCTTATGATATTATTTTCATGTAAATTTAATTATTTTATATAATGATTTATATAATGCTTTTTCTTCTTATATAGTATAACACTAAAATTTTATAAACAAAATAAATGGTGTGTACGGTTTACAATAATAAAAACTTTAAAACTTATTTTGATGCCAAGCCCCAATCATTTTTCAATATCAGTTAATTTCATATTCTCTTTATAGGCAAAAATTTAAAATTGTTATAAAATATAATATTGATTTTAAACTATAATTTTCTATCTTAGTGATTTAGACAGTGCTAGTCTTGTTGAAGCAGAAGATATACTGGATGGAATCCAAAACTCCTTGGATGATCTCTGGCGTTTGTCCACGCGTTATCCTCAAGTGCGTATGGAACGATTATTAGAAACTTTAGGTAACCAAAAATATAAATATTATTGAATGCAAAATAGTAATTGTATTAAATAAATAATCATTTATCATAGGACATGCTGTTGTGGATAACTGTCAGTCTCGCTTATCGTCCTTGCCATTGTGGGACAAAGAAAGTCCTGGAGAAATTTTGGAAAGTGCTTTGTTTTTTTGCGAACGTTGGTTGGAATGTTGCGAATCTTTAACGAAATTGTTTTGGTCTAATTATAGCGTACATGCGTGGGTCGGTTAGTAAAAAATTTTTATTATCTTTTTTAATTCTAGTTTTGATTATGATAATTTCTATGGAAAGTAAACAGTTAAACTCTATCTATAGGGATTAGCAAGATATACACTTTTTCATATACTATCTAAAAATGTAATAAGCCAAAATAAAATCATTTTTTGTAGGACCTCCACACAACGCAAAATATTGCCTTAGTTTCACGAAACGATTAAAAGAAGTAAGTATACTATAATAAAAATATTTATAAGTTTTATAAATATATTATACACCAAAATGTTATGAAAATATTGTGTTATTAATGAAATTAATATAAATGATATTATGACTTAATTATTGGTTATTTTGGATTCTGTTTAGTATTTCCTTAATTTATTATTGAATTCTAGTTATATAACTATATATTTAGATAGTAAATATATAATAGTATCTTGGTTATTATTTATTCCTGTTAATTTCAGATTAAATCAATAAGAGAAACATACACAAATATATGCCGTTGGTTACCATTCAGTGATCAATCAGTTCTCAAAATCGGGACTGTTTTAAATCCATTTAAAGGTATTTTTTTAATGATAAAAAATAATTAAATAAAATTATACTAATATAAAATATAATAATAATTGTTCAAATTTCTCTCTAGGTGTGGAGGCTTTAAATGTTGACACGTACACTGAAAATCAATGGCAAAAATGTATAAAAACCTTCGAGCTATCTTTGATACCAGCTGATGATCGTCTGTCAGAAATCATAAAATCAAGATTATTATCAGTAAAAGATGATCCAACAAAAGTAAATGATTATTATTGATATTAAACTATATAATTAATTAAATCGATTCGCTACCAAATGTATTAATTCTTTCAAGATGCTAAATGTGTTCTCCTCGAGCGGGTCTATTGTGGGTCGCAAAGGTGTGCAAAATGCCCTTAAACCGGAACGAGAAATGTTATGCAGTTCCTTACAAGGACTTGTAGACAATTTAGAGTCTCAAGTAAATAATCCTCCAGTTGATCCAAATTCAGAAGAGGAAATACCAATGATTTTGCAAACTTTGCAGTGGTGCGGCAAAGTTGAAAATCAGGTATGGAATAATATTTTATATTTTTAAAAATACTAAATTTTGCATCTAAAAGTTAATGAAATGATTCGGAATATCTACTTTATTACAAACAAATAAATTAAGTATTCTTTCATATTTAATATTCACTAAAAGGTTAAAGAAGTTCAAAAAGTAAATATAGCAACAATGAGAGATCTTGCTGGTCATAAACCTTTGGAAAATGCTTCAAATGGGCTTCTAAAGGAGGTCCAACGTGTTATGAAAAATACTTATGATACCTGGTGTGAAGATACACTTCATGAGATTGAA